GGGGGGGCAGGTCTGGAAAGGGATGAGAGCACACTTATGCCTGAGGCCCCCTGGGGCTTCATGCTCTCATGCTAGTCCGCAATTGGTCTTTAGCAGTTGGCTCAATATTTCTAGTTTAATATTCCTACAGCTTATATGGCATTCAGTGACATCTGTTCTGCGTAGACAATGATCCAGTTCTGTTTTTCTCTGCAGGCAATTCTCTCTAGATTTCAGGTCACTTATCTGCCCTTTGAGTTCAATTCTCTGATAGGCTCAAGAAAGTTGTTAATGTACATTTTGTCCAGTATTTTTCTCATATGGATCAAAGTGATGCTCTTTCCACATCTCTATATATTCTAGCTGAAGTTAGAAAATACTGTTAATAAAGAGGTTTGAATAGTAATAATTACCTTATATGTTTACCTATGCAGTTATTTTTGCAGACCTTCATTCCTTTGTGGAGAGCCATATTTCCACCTGGTATAATTTTCCTTCTGTCTGAAAGATTTCATTATCCTTTTTTCGTAGTGTGGATCTGCTGCCGATATATGTCTGAAAAAGGCTTCGTTTCCATCGACTTGACGTGGGACATTTTTAACTAGGAGGGCTAAACACTCTTTGAGAGGCTGATGGTGTGGGAGGAAGTAGCTATGCTTGAGGCTCTGACGCACCTGGATTCAAATCCTGATCTCTTGCAATTATTTCTGCCTGAGGGGACAGGTAATCTCACCTGTGTGGCCCAGTTTGTCATCTGTAAAATGAGGGCCATTAAGAGTAGCGGCGTCGTGTCTAGGAGTAAGTGATGTACTGCGGGGAAGGGAAAGTACCGGGCACGGTGCTCCGCGAGGGCTGGTTCTCCTCGGTACCGCCACTGCCCGAACCTGCCCGAGTGTGAGCTGCACGCACAGCCGTCCACGGCCCGCGGGCGTGCGGCTCCGCCTCACGGAAGAGCTTCGAGTGGCGTGAAAGCGAACGTCCCCGACGCCTGCGCCCTGTGCTCACCTGGCCGTGCCACCTGCTCCGTGGACC